TTTAAGTTGGCAACAAATTTGCATTGATGATGATCGTCATCAAGTGTCCGGTGATTTATGATAGGCCACTGTACATTAGTAAATCTTTCAAAAGGAATCCATTCGAATATATTTGGATTTCTATAATTAATTTTATTTCATTCTTTTATTAGATTGCCGATATCTTTATTTCCTCACGACAATTCATCGTATAAAATTTGTTAGTGATATAAAAAACACCTATCGCAGGAAAAATTGTGTTGACGACTCCAACATTTACTAAAATCATGAGTATTGTGTACTAAACACTATGTAATATTGACAATTCCAACAATCATTACAATGACGAGTATTTGATTCCATCTTTGAGTTCACTGAATAAAATACATGAATTGATTGAAATGATAGAAAACAAACAGTTGTAGTTATATACATACATAAACATTTATATAATATATGTGTATCATTAATTTAATACAGTTTGCAGATAATAAAGCTCTTTAGTAGTATTTTGATTTGTTTAGTTTTTCGCTTTGAACATTGATGTTTGTTTCGATTGCACTTTCTGTATTGATTTACAAATATTAAGCCATTGACAAACAAAAACCAATTAAATGCAACCAATTACTATTAGTGTCTATATTTTTATCACTGGTACTGTTATCTTTTTCTTTTTTGTTACATATTACCTAAAGTACATGTACTTGAAGCTTGCTTGTTTAGCAATTTCAACTGTGTACAACATCGGGAATTTTACATAACAACTTCGCATATAGTGGTTATAGTTGCAATAATCCAAATCTTCAATTTTAGAACAAGAAATAATCTGCAAAAAATCATGTTAATATCACATAAAATTATTATCTACCACGATTCCTCCTTATTTATTCATTTATTTTTAGTGAATTTACATTTTCTTTGTGAATCGTTTAGTAGGTCGTGATAATGATATTTCCTAATATTTCGTCCATTCCTGAGGAAAATGCTGTTAGTTTTATATTTCTAATCGCAACTCCCGAGTTTGTTGATGTTTCCGTTAGTTTTTATCGTTCGTGGTGATTATTGTTGAAGTCTCTGTTAAATGTCCTTTTCCTTCCCTTATAATAGTCGGTAGCGTACAAAATCACGAAGAACACATCCCGACAGTTCATAAGCCCGACAAACGAAATCCCGAATGAACTAAGATCGAAATTCTGAATGTACGAAATACTGAAATTATAACATCCCACGATTTCGGGATTTCAATTCATTCGGGATGCCGTTCTTTCAGGATTTCGTTTGTCGGGCTTATGAACTGTCAGGATTGTGTTCTTTCAGAATTTCGTACCAGACTCTTGAGAAATATGGGTAGACTTTGGTGTTATCGACCGCCACTATTTCAGCCAAATTAGAGGCGAAAATCTGATTTATTTCTAAATACATGTATTTTATGACGAGATAAATAAATTTCTATGATATTGTATAATTGTTCTGTTATGTCTTAAAACGAATTATTCCCTATCATTATCATAAAAGCACTGTAAAGTTTACGTATGCATTATCAATTTATTTAAAATAAATTTTGGCTTATAATTTTCGAGTTTTTTATTTTAATATGTTCTATACGAACTTAATAAATAAAGATTAACTCCGAAATTCAATTTTCATCTTTTGATGTTTCATTAATTATGAAGCTTAGCAAAAAGAAAAGGTTTAATCATATGACATCAACGATTCCTTCCTAAAAAATATTTTTTTATTAATTTGTGTTTGGAATATTTATATTATCTGTACAGTTGACTTTCTTTATAATTAGTAAAATATCCTTTTGTTATAGAAAAATCTACTATATTATTGTTGGAAATGTATTAAATTAGGTTTGAACTAAATTTGCTATAGTATAATTCAATTATAACGGGGTTTTTTTGTGAATAATATCCTTCCGGGTAAGAAACATGATATGCCTAGCTCAGAAAAATTGGTAATATTGGAAATATTGAATTTCAAGTCGCTCATATGTGTTGAATAGTTCAGATTTGTAAGTAATGGGATTTAGAATTGACCGTCTTTAAAATTCGTGCGTCGAAGAAATGTTAAAAGGTGGTTATTATCTCATTATCTTCGCTTTAAGATTATTCCAACTATAAAATAGCCCGTCACTGTAGAAATTTCTGTCAATTTTGGATAGCTACCAGTTGATTGATCTTAAAAAATCGTGTTCGAGAAGGAAGATAAATGCAAAGTAATTCTTCTTTCTCAATTAACGAAAACACAACACAAAAATTTTAAAATTTCGTTATATATTGATCCAATTTATATAATACATGAAAAGACAATCGCCTTAAATATCTAAGCTAAAATTATACTTATTATATATCCAAAAGACCAAGTCATAATTAATATGATTTCAGAATAACTGTCAATAATTAGAAAATTATTGGCATTATTACTTGTCGTTGTAGGAGAAATGTCTCCATTGCTTGTTTGAGTAGTACTAAGTTCAGGAAAATTGAAATATTTAATAAGCAAATCGATAAAAATTATTAAACTTAAAAAATGGAATAGCAAATTTATTTTCTGACGAAATATGTTAAGATAAAAATAATTGCTACAAATTTACCTTTGTACATTAGGAGGATTTGTACTCGTTGTAAATACAGTAGTTGTAAATCCGCCCGTTGTAAATACAGGAGAATGAATTGGTAACGTAATTGGTTTATTAGGGACTTGGGGATTGTTTCCTGGATTTGGATTTGAAAAAGTTGAATTTCCAATAGCTGTCGGTGAAGGTTTTGGAGCTGTTGCTCGAGGTTTTAGATCAATCTTCTCGGTTTCATTAGTCATATCACTATCAAATCTAGCATAAATTAACAGATCAATTTGAAATAATTGTAAAAGAAAAATTCACATATAATTATTTTTATTTTATTTACTTTTGTTCTTGTAACTGAAGAGAAGCAATTGCTTCTACTATAAGGCATAATATTAATAAAAATAAACAAAAAACCAATGGGCTTTTCATTTTGACTATATTTATTTTTCAATCTAAGCATTTTTGTTTGGCTATTTATCTATAGTCGGTAGCAAGGTTTGAATTTCTAGAAAGTGGTGGTGAAACTCAATAGAATGTACGATCTCAACGTCCAATTTGGCTATATAATAGTTATTATTATATAGCCAAATTGGGCGTTGAGATTGTACATGTGCTTACGTGAGGTAAATATCATATCACAGATCAAGTATTTTCTTTGGATAATAACTTATCGTTATTATAAAACAGAGAAAATTTTTAATAAATTTAACTCCCTAATGCATGACCACACCCAGCATTCAGGGGAATTGTCCGTACACGTGATTATCCAATCACGTGTTGCACATACTTGTTTGTACATGTATGTCACTTCGGTAAATGATATCGGAAAGGTGATTCCAGTGATCGAAAATCAAACGTTCAAATCCATTTAAAATTTAAAATGGAAGCATAACGATAATTATTATCTGACGATTAAAAATTAATTGCAAATCATAATCGATATAACACAATTGGGTTTCTTCGTAATTAATAAGGTTCGTTACAAATATTATCTGTTCTTTTTAGGATTATTTAAATTTTACATCTTGATGGCAGCAAATTTAAATGACTATTGTAAAAATAATGTCCATGGTTTTGATCCACACCATGTTGGATCACGTAGCCATCTATCTCGATGTCATCTAATATTGTGAACAAATAGTTTTGTATTATAAACAACTCGCATAATAGGATAACTTGATTCTGAATTTACTTTATTATCTGCTTAAACTTTAATAATTTTTGATCTATAAATAAAGATAATAGTATTATTTCTTTAGTTTATAATTAAATTGATATGAAATAATTAAGATTTATTAAGAATTAAATTATATCTTTATAATTTTAATACTTGATATTTATCTTGTATATTTGATAGATATCTAATTTTAACTCATTAATTTTTATTATAGTAGTAATTACAAGATTTTATTATTTATAAGTTTAATAAATATAGAATTAATCTTCTATATTTTTACTTTATTCTTTTATAAAAAGTTTTTATTAACAAAATTTCTTGATACTTTACTATTAAATGATATTTAAACTGATTTATCATTAATTTGTTTATTAAATTTAAGTTATCTTTAATAGTTATCTTCTAAATATATAAATTTAATTCTTTTATTTTGACATGATAATTCTTCTTATAGATTTTTTATATTAATAATTTTGATTTTTGATTTGAAATAATAATTCTTTGTAAAATATTCAAATTTTTATAATTATAATATATACTGTATCTTTAGATTTTATTATTCTTCTAATTATTCTTTTTGTAAGAATTTTCTGCTTGATCTAATTTCATAGGTATAGAACTATTATTTTAAATTCAATAATTTTTATTTTAGTATTAATATAAGTAATTATTACTATATTTATTTTATATATTTAGTAATTTATATTATTATATATAACTATATTATAGCAAATAGTTACTTTCAGATATCTTTTAAATTTTCTGATATTTGATAATTAACTTTTATTTTTATAATAAATTTAAGATCTTTTATAAAATATATAACTTGATTTAGATTAGTTATATTTGTGATTTATCTATATAGATTTAGTCTAATAAAGAAAATATAGTTAATAATATAATAATTAAAAGATATTTCTAAGAGTAATTACAAAGTCTTTTCATTTATTATATAATATATCACTATTATTTATCTTGTATTTATTAAGATATTAATAAAGAATAATATTAATTAAGAAGATAATAATATATTATATTTATATTATCTCTTCTATAATATCTTAAGTAAAGAAAATAATTTAACTTATATGATTTAAATAAGTATATTTTCAATCAGCTTTTCAGAATAGATAAATAATTTAATAAAAAGATAAGATAAGAATTTAGAATAAAAAAGAACTTTAATCTTTCATTATATTAATAAGTTCATTATATTTTATATAAATATTATGAAATATTCAGAATTTATCTTTGCTATAATTTAAGTAAACTAAAACTAAGATATATATATATAGAATATATTATAATATAAGTATAATATTGTTATGGCAAATTGGTAAGTGGATTTTCACTTTGATTTACCCTAACGATATAGGGTTAGGAGAGACTGAAATAATTAAAGGTAACAAGAGGGGAATTAGACTATAACTTTCAATAATGACAAAGATTTCTAAGATCTGTATCAATATCTATGAATATTATCTCAATAAAAGAGAAATAAATAAAAAAAGAATAAAATAAATCAAAGAAATTATAAAGATTGACTAAGTGAAGCCACTAGTAATCAATATAATTTAAGATTTGAATTAATTAACTAGTATAAACTATTAATCAAAGAAGACTATAACTAAAATAAAAGTAAAAACAAAATACAAAAACTAAATAACTAAAT